GATGGGCTAAATTATAGTGTGTGTGGAGAAAAAAGTAAAGTAATCAAATGGTGTCCCTTTCAGTCTCCATAAACTTCAGCGAAGCGTGTAAGTTCTTTGAACCAAGAATAAACTGAGGGCATGCTTCTGTCAGCCTTAAAGTAGCATATGCAGTAAAATACAAAACATGAAGATGGGAAAACCTCAGCCCGTAGTGAATTGTGCTGTAAGAATGTCTACTGCCTGTTTTCAGTATGCAGTTTATCTATTGCTAAATTAAAACAGGTGGGGTTTTTTTTTCAAACCAAGTAAAGACAATATTCTTCAATGGGGAAGGTGCCTATATGAAATGTCAGTCAGCAGGCACTTTTGCAGTAGCTCTGTTTAAATAAACATTCAGTTACTTTTTAAAATAGCAAAATTGACATTAGTATGTGGAAGGTCAGAGAGGGGAAAAAATCATCTGCAGTAAACTACAGAACAGCTGAGGGAGGTTTACTTAGCCTATAATAAAAAACTATCAGCTTTATTATTCTTCCAGAATCTTTGGGGTTCATATGATTTTTTTTTTCTTTGCAAAGGCATTTGGATGAAGGAAATTGGAGAATTGCACAATGAGATTTTCTTTCAGCAACATTATCAAAATCATGTGCCAGATCATATCCCAAGATCCCACCTCTGAATCTCCCCACTTTTGTATAGAACAGAAGGATGGGGTTTGCATGCCTTCAAGGCACCTTTTTCCTCTTTTCTCTGTGGAGACCTCTTCTCTTTGTTGTCGGGTACTAGCCAGGGAAACAAGAATGAGAGAGGAGTGTGGGTGGAAATAGAATTATGCTACATATCCTTCCTCTCTGATTGTATGGAAATTAGTTTAAAAGAGTAATACAACTACAGTACTATGTTTTTTTAATTCCCCTCAGTAATCATAAATAAGACTTTTTGTTTGTGGTCAGGTTCTCATGTACTGTACTATTAAAATAGTGCAGTGATTTATTTATTCCATTTTTTTAAACAAATGCCTCTATTCAAATTCTAATTAACAGTAACTTCATGGAAACATTTTTCCATTTTTGTTGAATTTTTTAAAAACCTGTTACTGTGTTTTATACAGCACCTAGAACAATGAGGTCCCAACCTGTTTGGAGCCTTCTGGCTATAAACACAATACAAATTGTAATAATTTTTACTAAATTTAAATTGGGGGCTAAATTTTATTTTGGAGTATTACTTTAACCACATTTTGCATATAGAATATTCATTCATTCATTGTTTTTGTATTCTCTTAGGATTTCTCAGAATTACATGTTAATCCCAAATGGGACATTTAGGATTTGTAACATGCCCTAGGTATTATTTCAGCAAATACTTGCTAAATTGTGAGTACTAGATGATAACGGATTGTAATACAGAAACTACTTCAAAGCATTACTCTGATTAAAAGGGGCAGCTAGTCTATTCATTTCCTTGTGCAGTAGTAGGAAGCATTTTGGAAAACATTTTGGGGTATAGGTGGAACACTATTTTAATACTCGCTGGCTCGGGCTCCTGCTGCTTTAATGTATACTTTAGGTCAGTGGTCTCCAACCTTTTTAAGCACAAGATCACTTTTTGAATTTAAGTGCAATCCAAGGACTACCTCAAATATAAATACCCCTGTCCCATCTCCCTCCTGCTCCTTCTCCAAAGCCCCCCGCCCCTGCTCACTCTATCCTCCCCCTCTTGCCCATCCTCACTCACTTTCATCAGGCTGGGGCAGAGGGTTGGGGTGCAGGCTCTGGTCTTGGCTTAAGGGATCTGGAGTGTGGGAGGGGCTCTGAGCTGCTCTTGGGGCAGGCAGTTGGGATGTAGGAGGGTTCTAGGTACATGCTCTGGGGCAGCATTTGGATGCAGGGGTGCTCGGGACTAGGACAAAGGTTTGGGGTGGAGGAAGGGTTCACAACTGGGGTAGGAGTTTGGGATGTGGACTCAAGCTGGGCACTGCTGGTGGCTCCTGGCTGGTGGTGCAGTGGGGCTAAGGCAGGCTCACCCTTGCCCTGGCCCTGCACCACTCCTTAAAGCAGCCAGCAGATTCCCTCCCAAGCCCTGTCTGCTCTGCCCCCTGTCTACTCTGTGGAGATAGGATATGGGTGAGAGATGGGGCACCCTGACATCAGTGCCTCTCTTCTCCCTCCCCTGCCCTGCACAGCAAGCTGGAGGCTCCCAGGGAGAGGAGCAGTTCCAAGGCAGAGGGCAGGAGGTGTGCAGCAGTGCGGGGAGAGGCAGTTGGAAGTGCTGGCACTTGATAGCCTCTTGGCCAAACCAGTCAGGATCACCTGTCAGAGGCTCCAAGATCTACCAGTAGATCCTGATCGACTGGTTGGTGACCACTGCTTTAGGTCCTGCTGTCTATTGCAAACTCCTGTTCTTTTCTGGTTGAAAGCTTCTCACCTATTTCTGTGGCTGGAATGGAATAGTTATTGTTGATGGGGCTTACTTGTGGTCAGAAAAACACATTAATTACATGAATGCAACAAACTTCTGCCCACGTCTGGCAGGCAGAGTTGAAAGTCAGAGATCTGAAACAAATGATGGATTTGATTCTACCCTCAAAATACCTGAATACCATGTGAAAATTCAGCAACCACATTCAGAACCAATCTGTTTTTTCATGTCCAATAAATAACAGCTGAAAGTGGAAGAAGTGTGTACATGAATGTGTGTGTTTGTCATATAACATGTACAAAAAAGTGTGTGTAAAAACATAAAGTATTTAAAAAACAAGGAATAAAAATAACTAACATGCTTACATTGTGATTAAACTGTTATAGTTTTGAATTATATTATTTTGAAAATAATATTCATAAACCTACAACAATGAAATGCCATAAAGCATATTTAAATAGTTGTGTATATAAAGAGTGAAAGCATCAAGCTATCTGCATTAGGAGTGAAAGAGATTAACAGAAAAGCTGATGCTTATCAGTTTCTGTTAATGGTTAAACTCTGTTAGGGTCTGGAAACAGGGGTTGGCATTTGGGACCTTGCACATGCCCGAGTGCTGCCATCAGCAGAGCCTGCAGTGCAGCACTGGCAGCCAGGACCCTGGAGAGGGGCCTTCACCTAGGACCCTGCCAGCAGCAGAGCCCACAGGGCCAACATCCGGAAGCCCACAGAAGTGAGTTCTAAAATGCCTAACCTGTAATGTCTGGAGTAATTATCCCTATGGTGGTTGGGGCTCCTGGAAGTGGCTGGCATGTCCCTGCAGCCCCTGAGAAAATCAGTGCAGGGGCTCTCCTTGCCTGCAGCTACCACTCCTGCAGCTCCCATTGCTCAGTAATGGAAAACTGGCCAGTAGAAGCTGTGGGGTTGGGGCTTGTAGATGAGGGGCTGCACATGGAGCCCCTGCTGTACATGCCACCTGCTTTTGGGAGTGGTGAAGGGCCAGGACCAGGGTAAGCCTGCCTTAGCTCTTCTGTTCCAGTGTTGGCTGTCCCACTGCTCCCACGGTTGGTGGGACTTGAACCTACCAGCCTGCGCTCCCCAGGGGAATGCTTTATCTCCTAACCTCTGCTACCTAAACTACTGCTATGTTCCAGAAACTGTGGGTGAAGGGATGGAAAATCATGAGGTGGGGTGGGAGGTTGCTACAGGACTATTATTTGCAGTCTAGGCAGTTGAAATGGAATCTACTGCCATCTCCCTTGGGTGACCTAGCTGAGATCACTCTCCTAAGTAACAGAAGTGACTAGGGAAAAAGTTGTGCAAGCATCTGGGGACAGACTGGGTCCCTATGTTGCTGTGTTGTGTACTGCCATGATGCCAGCAAAATTAATATTGGAGTATCCTCCATGGTGGAAAAAATGAGGATTCCTGGGCCATCCCTGTGAACATAAACTGTCTTTTTTTTCATGGGGCACTCTGTGCCTAGCCGATGCAGCCACTGGGAGGAAGATAACAACTCTACCTCATCTTGTTAATTTTAATTAAAAATAGAATATAAGATATTCCCCAAAATATTACTTGAAATTGCATACTCACCGGAGGTTCTTTCCCCAGCATCACTTGGCCACAAAGCTTTTCTGCATCCGGCTGGACTGCTTTGGGGCTACAAACAGCTCCTGGCTGGAGGATCACGGAGAATGGATTCTCCACTTGCCTGTCTCTCGATCTCTTCCTCCCCTTCCTTATCCAAGACCACCTCTTCAGTGTTGCCTCCACTGACCCAGGACTCTAGCTATTCAGAGTAGGAAAGTGTTACATGGTTACACTCTGCCATTTCCCAGCTAGGTCGCTCCACTGCAGCGGGGGAGGACTGAGCATAGATAGTCAGCTCTTTTTTTTCTCTGTATTTTATTTATTTAGGTTTTGTAAATAATATACAGTACATGAGAAGTAAAGGTCTTTGATTTCATATTTAAACATACTGGTGTTGACCCTGTTGATATAAAATCCTGGTAAAGAAATGATAATCCTTTATGTAAACATTCCTTCCTAGAAGGAGCAATTTTGCACTTTTCCCAAAACTAACTGCTAATTCTGTAGCAATTACTTAGAGGTACATTTTCTTATGCAGCGAACTTGAGTTTAAAATGATATAATGTTTGAAGTAGTTGACATTTGATTTATTGGAAAAAGTGAGAAATATGGCTTAATGTAAATACATAGCAGCATGTATGAATTATCATGAGTTCCAGTACCACTTATTAAAAGTGCACAGAAACATTTGTGCAAGTGATGTGGTTCCCAGAGTTTCCTGTTGAAAATGCATGGGAAGCACAGAAAATCCCACAACCTCTCTAAACTTTCCCATGGTATGCTGTACATTTTGAATGGATGGCACTGTTTTCAGCTCAGGAAATGTTTGGGGGGGAGGGGATTAAGGAGTTTGTTTGCTAAATTTGTCCATAAAACACAGTGAAGCTTGTAGTTGAACATAGATATTTTAACCATATTATTGTATGTAAGTTGTTGGACTCAATTATATTGAATATTAACAAAGAAGTAAGTGACTACAGCATTCTATGTCCTTCTGATTTCAGCTTTATGACAAAATTAACACAAAATCTTCACCGCAAATCAGGAATCCTCCAAGTGATGCTGTACAGAGAGCCAAAGAGGTAAGTGGTTTTGAAGTTCATTTCAGACTTTCAGATTTTTATTTTCTTTGTTTAATGTGAAACTCTTTAATCATAGATACCGTGCTCTAGTCTGGTCCTCAATTTGACTCACTCTAATATTTTTATTTTTAGTTGCAAGGCAGGCTTTGTAAATTTATCTGTAAGGCATTTATTTATTGGACTGTAAGGAATCTTTATATTATTTAGCCTCATCATACATCCTCTAACTTATCAGTAGGGATATAAAAAAAAGGAGCTTTTTCCTGTGACAAATGTGGTTATTTGCATATATTTTGCATTTGGTAGATTTGAATTCAGCAAAAGTTTGAAGGTTGGATAATTTCTCAAATAACAGCTTTCTTTAGAAATGTCTGTAGATTGAATCAAGATTGTCTTGCTTTTTATTGTGTCTACTGTTAGAGAAGAAACAGGCGACCCAGGAGTGGATGGGGTAAATGAACTGCTTTATTGCCCATGCACATTTATCTTGGACATTCAACACAACAGCCAAGTGGCAACAAATTGGCATCAGTCACACCCATTTAGCTATTTTAATATGTTAATTCACATGTCTATCACTACTTTTCCTAAAACCTTATTTAGTAATGTTAACTCCCATAAAATGAATATTAATAAGCAGGTGATTAATATTATTATACCTGCCCATAATTACTATTTACAGAATTTCTAATTAAATCAACACTTTCTATGCTACAAACTTTCCAAATCATCGGGTTACAGAGATTACAAGATATTTAACACTGAAGATATTTTATACAGAGCCAATGAGGATAAGCAAAAGACACAACAAAGTAGAACAGCTGCATGCTAATCTATTTTCCTAGGCTGCAAAAAGGAAGGGGAAAAGCATGTTCAAGGGTAATGGCAACTCCTTACTGCTCTCTCATACCCCTATTCATTTTACATATGAAATAAACTTCTACAGCAAAGAATTAGTGCCAAAAAAGGGGGCAGAGCTGGAAATCAGATGCAGAGCTGTAGGACATAAGACTCAAAATGGCCAAAGCCAATAAAAACAGAGCTACTTGTTAAACGTAGGCCAAATGCTGAATAAAGAATGTGATCTATAGTGTCAATCAAAAGTATTACTCGTTTAACATATGATAGCTAAAAACCATTGCTTTGAGTAATATTAAAATTCAAATGAGCACAGACATTTTTAATCATAATCTGTGATCACTGAAGTCACACTGACACTTTCTGAAGATTTTTCTCCTGTTTTTCTAACTACTTTTTATTGAAACAAGACTTTGTGGCCAGATTGACAGACTTTAACAGCTCAGGCATGCTTTGAGCAGTCCTCACAATTTCACCCAGAGACACATTTTATATCTTTGTCCATCCAAATCTATACCTTCTCCCACTTCCCCACATCAGTGTGTGAGGACTGGACAGCCAACCATCAAGTTACTCTTATCCAGGTACACTCATGCTTCTCTGGAACCCTGTGAACAAGATTGGGGCCACTGATTCCTGGCCACAAGAAGCACCAAGATGGCACAGCCGAGTCATCACAGGCTAGGTGACTCTCAGAGGAAACTGTACTTGCAGGTACAGGCAGGAAAAAGCAGGAAGAGGGCCCACACAGAGAAACTTCTACCAACTCTGTAGAGAGTATTACTCAGCCTCCTTACGGTAATGAAGAAGTGGTGAGCTTGTTTCCTGCAGGGAGATGGACAGAGCACTTTTGTGTAGCAGGAGCTGGCTGTACAGTACAATGCATGCACAGGGGTACTACCTGTGTCAGAGGGAGCAGTCCACTGATAAATGCCTATGAGGCCTGCAGCACATTTTGTACCTGAATGTCTTTGTGACTAGGGTCCCAGGGAAGGGGGAGCACTCTGAGGTTGCTCATTTGGGGTAAAATGCAAAGAATGGGGAAGAATATCCCCAAAGCTAGTGGGTAGCCCAGTACTTAGATTTACCAAGACAGCACAAAATTAGTCCAGTACTTAGATTTACCAAGACAGCACAAAATTGCTTCAACAATGCCTTACTGGTTATACAGAAGTCACACCACAGTTTCCTTAAAGCAACCCAGCTTTTGGGCTTCTTCCCAGACAGTCAAATCAAATATGAAAGTTTTATCAACGTTTCAGCTTTTACCCAAATACACACTTACAGCCAACTCTTATGAACTAAGCTAATTTTTTTAAAGGAGAATGAATATTGATTAAAAGTTTATTATACATAGAGACATGAAATCAGTTTTAGTAGATATGGTTAGCTTTGGAGTTGCAAAGAGATCTCAGAATTAGTCCATCATTTCAGTCCAATGTTCTGTATCCAGGGTGATCCAGATGGGACTGGAAATCTTAGTTTTATGACTCAAACTTAACCCAGAATAAAGTTGGAGCAAGTCCAAAGAGTCCTGTATACAGTTTTCTTGCAGCTTATGATAGCCTGTTCATAGCAGGTGTTCCTTGGTTGAACTTTGAGGAAGCTTTGAAGAACAACTTTTTCTCTAGGCATACCCAAGCAACTAGTTGCATTCATCAACATAAGAAAATTATCCATTAGAGGCCGTTTATAACAAACCATTAAAGAGAAATATTGATAATGACATTATTACACGGATGTTTCATCTAAATGTTAATATTTCCTTTTGATTGCTGAATCAATAGCTATAGCAGGGGTTCCCAAACTTTTTGAGATAGGGACCAGTAAATCCATTCATAAGCTTTTGGAGGACTGGTAACATTCATTTGCATATTCATTAAGCAAATGATGAATATGGAAATAAGTTTCTGGTCCTCCCGAAGCTGTCAGTGCCAGCTTTAGCAAAACTTTTGATACGGTCACCCACAATATTCTTGCCAGAAAGTTAAGGGAATATGGATTGGATGAGTGGACTGTAAGATGGATAGAAAGCTGGCTAGACCAGGGTTTCCCAAACTTTTTACTTTAGTTGGAATCCATTTTTTTTTGGTACTGTTTTTTTGCAGCCCAAAAATATAAATGCATATTAAGAGAAAGAATGAAAAATGAATACATTTTCACTGTGTATTTATTCACAATAACAGTACATAACATAAATCTTAATTACAATTTAACCAGTAGAATTTTAACAGTTGTAAAGTTTGTTTATTTATAATTGAATGAGTTGAATATAAGTCATTTGTTTGCACTTTATAACTTTTAAATAACTAAAAAGAGAACTAATGGGAAGAGTGATGTTGTTTTGCATCACATAACAACTTTGTCAGGAGCAAAAGAAAGTTTTATCCTCAAATCTGGTTTGACATTCAATCTATTTCTATATTTATTTTTGAAGAAAACCAAAGATGAGAAACTAGATACACATTTATATGTCATGATGAAAGGCATTAAGAATTTGACTGCTTTCTCAGATAAATGTGAATATTCATTTCTACAGCTCAACCAAAAATCAATCAATTGAGAGTTTATCAAAGTTCTCTTTTAAGGCAGAGTCACAGGAAAGTTCAATTAGTGAATGCACTTCTGATGCACTCAAATGTAGTATTTCTTCATTTTCGGTATCAATAGTAAACGGGTTCTTAACCCACATTTTACTGGCATAAATTGTAGGAAAGTATTCATATAAACTTGATGTTAGCTCCAAGAGGTGTTCTTGGATTGCTGCAGAAATCACATCTGAGATATTAGTTTCAGCATATTTTTCTTGTAATTCAGTTAAAGTACAAAAAGACTTAAAATTTCTCTTGTTAACTCACTGTGCCCATAAACGAAGTTTTTTAATTGTTGCCTCAACCTTTTTGTGAACTTTGAAAGTATTAATTTTAGTGCCTTGTAAATTCAAACTTAAATCATTTAAAAGACAAAATATGTCACATAAGTAAGCCACCATTGTTTACCAATCAATCTCATGAAACCTGTCTTTAAATGTAAATATAACATCTTTTGCCAATGGAGGATGTCGCTCCAAGAACAATAAAACTTCATCCTTCATTTCAGAGTAATTTCAAAATGTTTCCTTTCAACAGCCATCGAATCTCTCAGTGTAGTAAGAGACGCTCATGTTCACTTCCTAATTCGTTGCACAAAGCAGTAAAGATTCCAGAATTCAAAGGACAAGCTTTCATATAATTTATAAACTTCACACATTCTTGAAGAGTGGAACTCAAAAGTGATGGCATAGTTTTCACAGATAGAGCCTCTCTGTCAATACTGCAGTGCACCCATACACAATCAGGCACTACAGCGCGAATCCACGAGACAGGCTCAGTGTGAGACCCTGCCATTGCTCGAGCCTCATCTCTGCTCAGTCCAGCACACTTTTTCCAGTCAATATAGCTTTGAATAATAAAATCATTGATTAGCTTAACATTTCCGCAGCCGTTGTTCTTATTGGAAATGGTTTACAAAATAAGAGATCATCTTGAATGGAGCTTTCATAATCATATCTAACAAAACACATCAAGTTGGCAGCGTCAACTATATCAGTGCTTTCATCCATTTGTAATGCAAAAAACTGACTATTCTGTAGTCGATGAATGAGCATTTCAATATTTTTCGCCATTTCTTCAATTCTACATTTCACTGTATTGTTGGATAAAGACAGAGAACCCAACTGATTTCCCTTTTTTTCCTCCTTAAATACGGGATGTAATAATATTCAATGCAGGAAGTATTAACCTTTCACCAACAGTATGCGGGTAACCTGTCTCGGCTATTAGTTTTGAAACTTCATATGAAGCCAACACAAAGTTTTCATTTGAAGAGCCCATTGAAAGTGCACTTTTCATGCTTTTTTTAGCAAAAGCGAATTAATTTCTCTTATTTATGAAAAAATCTATAGGCTTACTCGCGTATTCTGGATGTTTGCATTCCAAATGGCATTTCAGTTTTGATGGTTTCATGCACTCGTTGGATAGTTCTGAGAGACAGATTAGGCATAATGGCAAGTGATTATCACTACCAGCACTTATAAAACCAAATTTCAAATACTCATCAGAATAATTGCGGGTCCAAGGAGTTTTTATCTTCTTATTCTCACTTGTACTAGGCTGCACACTGCTACTAGGCTGCACATCATTCAGACATTTTTTAGTTGTATTTACAGTCACATTCTTCAGCCATTTATCCATATTGAAGATGAAAATGAGAGGGTATATTATTGAAAATAAATGAAGAAAGCTTAAGCAGTTAACCTAAGAGGACGTGCGCTACTGTGCAGAAACAAGCTGAGGCTGCTGTATCAAGTGACAGGAAAACCAATGACACAAGCTTGACTGCATGAAAATACACGTGCTTCTGGGAAGATGAAGCCCTTTCCCTGCCCTTGTCAGGTGGCCTGCGTTCCCTGGCACTACCAAAGCACTATGCTGCCCCAGAGAGCCCGCCTCCGGAGGAGCCACTGAAATCCCATAGGGTATGTCTACACTGCCACCCTAGTTCAAACTAGGGTGACTAATGTAGGCATTTGAAGTTGCAAATGAAGCCCGGGGTTTAAATATCCTGGGCTTCATTTGCATCTTGCCGGGCGCTTCCATTTTTAAATCGCTGTTAGTGTGGACTCCAGAGGGAGGGATCACAACAGGTAATCCTCACGTGATCCCTCCCCTATCACTCACCTCCAGAGAAACAGAGGCTAGGGATTCCATTCCTGTCTATCCTAGCTAATAGCCATTGATGGACCTAACCTCCATGAATCTATCTAGCTCTTTTTTGAACCCTGTTAAAGTCCTAGTCTTCACCACATCCTCTGGCAAGGAGTTCCAGAGCTTGACTGTGTGCTGAGTGAAGAAAAACTTCCATTTGCTTGTTTTAAACCTGCTCCAGACCCCCTGCTGTTCCACTGCAAGGCTTGAACATTCTGAGGTGTGAGGGGAATGTGGGGAGTGTCTTTCTCCTTCTCAGTTAGGGGCCAGGTCAGTGAGGGTTTGGTGGGGTTTTTTTTTTTTGCTTCTCACTTGTGTGCGGCCCCCAACTGATTTTTCTGTGGGTCAGTGGTCCCAACCCAAAAGTGGATCTGGACCATGAAAGCTCATCACCTAATAAACCATCTTGTTAGTCTTTAAAGTGCTGCATAGTCCTGTCTTTTGTTTCAGCTAGACCAGACTAACACGGCTGCATCTCTATCACCTGCTATAAAGGGACAGACTTTCAAAAGTTGGTTTCCCATTTTCTGGTACAGTTTGAAAACCCCACTAAATCAAATGTTGGCAGGGCCTCCCCACCCCACCCTACACCTCCCTATCAACTGCAGTATTCCTCACAGTTGCGAGGAGTAAGGGAAGTTGATGGGAGCATTTCTCCCGTCAACCTACTGTGGTGCCACCCCAGAAAATCAATGTAAGGTACGTCAGCTCCAACTACGCAACTGTCATAGCTGGACTTACATATCTTACATTGATTTTCTCCACCAGTATAGACCTGGCCTTAAAAAAGAGAATGGGAAGCTAGTAAGTGTCTCAATTCCTTTAATGTTGTTAATTTCAGGTCAGTTTTTTAGCACAAAAAAATAAACATACTCTAAGCCAGCAACTTCATTGTGGAAATAAGACTGAAAAGTACAGTTCAGAAGCTTCTAGAGAGTGTGAAATCTCTTCTCTTTTTAAGTCCATTCTGGTTTATACATGTCAATACAGTGTACCAGTAATGGAGACTAGATATAAAAATGTTTAAATAATAACTTATAATTATTTAATAATTCAGAATAACTTATTCAGCCCATAGTAAATAAAGTGAATCATGCCCATATGACAAAATTGAGTTGTGCATTTTACACATTCAACCATGAGGGCTAAAATGCACCTTTAGCAGGATGATAGAGTTTAAAAATGCACCCTGTTTACCAGTTGTGGAAAAATGAGAGAATGATTTGAACTACCCCAAATGGTGGGAGGGAGTTGTTTGTCTGTGCCAACCACATTGCTTTGCAGAATTTCCTAGCAGTTAATCTCTGGAGCCGCTGCCAGAAGCAGAGTGCTCTGTTTTTCCACCATTCAAACAGCTGAGTTCTGAGAATAAAACTGAATATATCAGACTGTAAGGGACTGTGTTAAATACATTTACTTTTTCCCCCCAGTTATGAGATGAAATGCTATTTTTTCTTGTTTATAGAATCTTGAGTTTTGTGGTAGTGTAACACATGGACCATCTTCAGTTCATATTTTTTAACTGTTTAATTTGCAGAAGCAGTATTTTAATCTCGATAATTCAAGATTTTGTACATGGTTTTTAATTCTATTAATGTCTCTTAGGTTCCATTCAGGCATGGAAACAGAGGTTGATAAGAACGACTTATATAGTTGCTGGTTAACACTTTACTTCTGCAGTTATGATAATGACCTTTCAAAGAATATTATCTGTTTGAGAAGAGAGATTCTGCTTTCTTTAAATCTCATCTTTCATTTAGCAAAGAGAGAGGTCAATAGATGACTTTTATTCTGTTTGAAAAAAGTTCCCATTCTTGAAGACCTTTTTCTATCATAACCCAGTGATTGTGTTGGTGCTACAGGAATTAGGCCCACCCAGAATAAAGGATGCATTTTACAATTTTATGCCAGAATAGAGAGCAGTTGGCTTTACTGACATTTGTGCTGTTTGTTTTGCAGGTATTGGAAGAAATTTCATGTTACCCAGAGAACAATGATGCAAAAGAGCTAAAGCGTATTTTAACACAACCTCATTTCATGGTAAGCAAATACTATCTTAAACACATTCCTCATGGAACATCAGCAGAATCTACTATCTAAAGCCTATAAACAGCAAAACAAAATTATAGTTAACTGCACATAAATAAATATTTAATCAGCATTTCCAATGGGCTAAGTTAGCTCAGCAACTGATATTGCATACTACTTGCTACACTGAGGGAGCATTGTGTTTACAGCTTGTTGTGATGAGAATTTCAGTTTGCAGGCACAGATATTTTGCTGGTTTGTTCTCATCAGACAAGGGTGTTATTCCTTAAAATGTTAGTTTTTAAAAGGAAACAATAAGAGAAACGAATAAGAAAGATCTAAACACGCTGCCAATAAAGGTAACACAAGTCTAACAGATGCCAGTTGCATTAGGTGAATCTTTTGTTACACAGTCACAAAAGCAATTGAACTGTTCTTTACAAAATCTTACAAAAATAGGGTAGAAAGGAGGCCCTTTATAACGAAATCAGTTAATGTTGTTAAAAGTGATATTCTTTGTCTCAATAGCCTGTTAAAACTATTTCACCCAGCCTTGTAGCTCTGTGGTTTAGTCCTGCATATTACCACGTGAGTAATCTTAAGTTAGATTCCCAGTTCAAGGGACTTGTTTTGGGAGCTGTCAGGGATGTAAAAAGGAGAAAGGAACCCGTGGATCCCAGGAGGAAATGGTGAGGATCCTCCTTCCAAATGTTTGTTGGGCAAAGATGTGTTTATTCACTTTTAGAATGTGTCCTATATTTAAATCTAGTTTAGGGTGGGCCAGGGGAATGGTACAATTTAGTGAATTTGGAGTTTGTACTTAAGACAAACACTCTGGCGTATTTCACCCATTTCTACTTTGGGGGCATTGATGGCCTGTGTGGTCAGGAGTATGAGCACCCAAAACTCTCACCTAAATCACTGAAGTACAGAGTGTCTTGAAATCAGGCAGTGAATTTCTTTTGTTTGAGATGTGAACACACCCTGTAAACTCCTGAAAAGAAATACTGTTGTTTGAAGTTGCTATATTGTTGTTTGAAGTTGTGTGCTGGCCGACTGAGGAATAACTAAAAGTGTGAGTGTCTAACCCAAAGAATGAATGTAAGGAGTGCACAGATTTTGCCCGGCATAGGGAAGAATTGATTTTCACAAGAAACTCCCAACAACTAGAAAACAGCACCTGAAAATAGAGCAAGTTGCAGCCACCTTCATTTAATAGGCAGTCGACGCTTGCAAAAGCTACAGGTTCCAGCATGCAGCATTCCAGCTGGATTCTTTGAAGATTATAGTAGTCTTGTACCTCAGCTGTGTTGTGTGCCATTTGCCTGATGGCCAAACACACACTGATAATGGTAGTAGAACCAGCTCTCCTTTAGCAGAGACAGTTGTTTACAATAGGAAAAAAGAGACAGTATGACAGGCAAGCTTGTTATGGGGGGGGAAGAAAGGAGTGAAAATAATAAATGGTACTGATTGTTACTCAATTTTTCTCTTACATGGCTTTCCTGGTTCATCTTTTTTTTTTTTCCCCTTCAATTTAATACATTTCTTGGATTTACTGCAAAGACTTCAGAAGTAAAGGCAGACAAAAGTCAATAATATATGGCAGGTTTGAAGTCTAGCTGATCAACTTTTGTGTGCACATGATTTCCAAAGTAATCACCAAATAATAATTTATTAAATATTTTTGTATGGAGAAATGATAAGGAAAATGTTATGCATCAGAAAACTATTTTTTATATAAACAGTAATTAAACTGCTGTGCCGATAGACATCTTTTAAGACCAGCTGTCAGAAAGAAAACTCTTACAACAATTTTTTAAATGATTTTTATGTGAACTAAGACTTATTTCCCTTTAAAAGTGTTCAAATTATACTAATGGGAGTTTTTTTTCTAAGCAAAAAGAAGCTGTGTAAATCTTTCATATGGAAATGAAATACCTTTTATTTGTGAAAAATGTAAATCCTTTCCCCGCAGTTTAGGAAATCAAGATAGATGAGCTAAATCCTTAGGCATCTTATCTGTGTCCCAGTGGACAGAAGTCAGTATTCCTCACAGGAAACGAGCAAAAATTATAATTAAATATTTAAACTAGCTGTAATTCATTCGTTAGATAACTAGAATTTGTAATTTTAGTCCCTGCCTTATGGTTTTAAATCTGCAATTTGGTTTTAATTTATAGATAAATGACTATACTCTGAGATTTTTAAAGAGCTATTATAAATAATTATGGGATACTCTTTGGGGCCAGGGAGGCCAAAACCACGAGAGCTCCAGCTCTCCCCCTGCCTACTGGGTAGGATCGGGGCCACAGCCCCAGCTCTCCACATGGCCCTTAGGGAGGGCCAGGCTGGGAGTGGGTGGGGCTTGGCTCCTATGGACACAGATGATGTGGTGATGTCATTCTGTTGTCCCGCAGGAACGTTTTTTTTAATATAAAACAAAAGACAGGACTATGCAGCACTTTAAAGACTAACAAGATGGTTTATTAGGTGATGAGCTTTCCGCAACAATGCACAGACTGACATGATTCACAAACGACAACAAGCGACACACAGTCTCAGTCGTGCTGAACACTATGCTATCCAGAGTCTCAAAAACAACCCGGACATTATAATCAAACCAGCTGACAAAGGGGGTGCTGTGGTCATTATGAATAAGGCCGACTATAATCAGGAGGCAACCAGACAACTCTCCAACACCACATTTTACAAACCTCTCTCCTCTGATCCCACCAAAAGAAACTACACTGTCTCCTTAAAGACCTCTCTACATCTACTCGGGACCAAATCTACACAGAAACACCTTCTGAACCCCGACCAGGATTGTTCTATCTGCTTCCCAAAATCCATAAACCTGGACACCCCGGATGTCCCATCATCTCAGGTATCGGCACGCTCACTACTGGTTTATCCAGCTATGTAGACTCTCTTCTCAAACCCTACTCAACCAACACTCCCAGCTATCTCTGAGATACTACTGACTTCCTAAAGAAACTACAAAACATTGATAACCTCCCCGATAACACCATTCTTGCTACCATGGATGTAGAAGCACTATACACCAACATCCCACATGAAGACGGATTACAAGCAATTAGAAACACTATCCCAGAGGACACCACTGCCAATCTGACACCAGACCTATGTAACTTTGTTCTCACCCACAATTATTTCCAGTTTGAGGACAACTTATACTCCAGATCAGCAGCACAGCCATGGATACACGCATGGCCCCACAATACGCTAACATCTTTATGGCTGACTTAGAACAATGTTTCCTCAGATCCCATCCCCTCTTACCCCTTCTCTACTTATGCTACATCGATGACATCTTTATGATCTGGACCCATTGCCAAGAAACACTGGAGACATTCCACAGAGATTTTAACAACCTACACCCCACCATCAATCTCAGCCTGGACCATTCTACACGAGAGATCCATTTCCTGAATACTGCAGTACAAATCACCAATGGTAAATTAGATACCACTCTCTACAGAAAACCCACCGACTCATACAGTTACCTTCATGCCTCCAGCTCCCGTCCAGAACACACCATACGATCCATCGTGTACAGCCAAGCCTTTCGATACAATCGCATCTTCTCTAATCCCACTGACAGAGACCAGAAACTTCAGGATCTCTACCAAGCATTTATAAACCT